ATCCAACTGATGCAAAGATCATGCTTGATTCACCGCCAAAGAAATTATCACTCGAATAGAGTTGAGCTGAACTAATAAAGAGAACGTTTCAATATAGTCAATGTCATAGGTTTACATGAATTAACGAGCAACCAAATGAGTTTTGTGACATGTAATAGATCAATTTAGGTAATATTTGAGTGTGAAAATCTACTTACATGGATTCGCGATCTTTTTATCACGAATCGTTCAGCAATTTTAGTAGCAATGCTCCGCGAATCGCATTGACGAGATTTTCGCCGATGATCCAGCGATTCTCGTTGCTTAATCCTTCACCGACGATTTGCTGGAAAGTCGCGATAATCAGATAAAAATATATGACTTTTGACTCTGGGAGGATTTGAACCCACGCCAGTTGTCCACCCCTTCTGAGGAAGGTGTGACGCGGGTTTAGTCCCACACCGGTTGTGCGTCGATTTTTCGGGTGAATATATAGTAATGTTACATTTGTAAGCAAAGTTTCTTCTCTCGCGTGTACGACCACTCCTTGCCCCACAACCGGCTGGCCACCGGTGACGTGGAAGGGGAGTGGTGGCGCACACGTGCCCCTATCGGTCCAAGCCGCTCGAGCCCCTGCTCGCGGCTACTCCCCGACCGAGCTTCCAACCCGCTTGCGGGCCCGGCTGGCCGGCGGGTCCCCCCATTTTGCAATATTTTAGTTTTATTTCTTTTTCTTCATTTATCTCAAAATCAAGACTGTAAAAATCATATAAATTCGTATAAAATCACATAATTACCCAAAAAAAGCACATTAATCAATTGAAAACCACTTTTCACACTTTAACCCAAAGATAAGTCTATTTATCACGAGTTAAGGCTAAAACTATATTATTTACTAATTATTAACTCATGATAATGAAGACTTATCACACCCCCCAACTTAAATCATTGCTAGTCTCTTAGCAATGGAATTACGAAAATAAAAATTTACAAATCTCAAACATCATATTTCAATAAGAAAAATAAAAATACAATTAGAAATGATGCACCTTTAGACACTTTGGACTCTTATATCAAGTCTTTGAGAATGATGTCAAGCACTTAAATGTTTAAGCACACCTTGGAATAACAATCTAGACTTCACTTCTTCTATTCACATCTTTATCACTTCTTCACTCATAGATATATTTACAAAATGTTCCAATTATCAATAATCATCTAAGAATAATATTGATTCTACATTTCCCTTTTTCCATAGCTTGATTTTTGAAGTTTGCACTATATTTCTTCCTTCTTTTATAGTGGATAAGTAGCTTTTCTTGTAGACAAATTTCGACAATAAGAATGATGTCTCACACCCTCCATGTGTACTCTTAATTTTTAGGGCTTTCACTTTATCCACTTATTTTGTAGCAAGCGTTTTTTTATACACGATTTTCGACAATGAGAATGATGTCTCACACCCTCTATGTGTACTCTTCGTTTCTAGATTTTTCACATTGCTCTCTCTTTTTTTTTCGAAATAAGTGATTTCTCCTCACAAGTCCTATAGATCAGGGTGCAAAAATCTCCATTAAACTCAAATGATCAATCAAATTTTCACATCAAGTAAATACTATCCATCAAGATCATGAAGTGAAAATCTGTAAAATCAAATCCATGTTATCTATCATGTATCCAAGGAGTATTCCAGCATTTCATGCTACTAGATCATTCTTTTGACTCAATAATAATCTTCCTAGTATCTTTTGGTATCAATCAATCTAATTGATTTAATTTTTCATGCATGCAATATGATGTAAGAAATTTGTAAATTAGATAGTTATGACAGTTCTGTTTTCTATTTTCAGTTCTATTTTTAGCAGTAATAAATTTGTCAAAAATAAGTCAAAACTATCTTGTTTATAGCTGTAATTTCGAATTTCAGTAATATATGTCTAGGGGATTGAAATGTGAGAAAAGGGTCTCTATAATTTCAAATTTCGGGTTGTTTTTTCCTCTGCTATTTTTGACAGTCTCTTGTTCCTAACAGAAAACCAGAAAATAGATGTTGCAGTTTTTCCGAATTTTATTTTATTTTTATTTTTTTAGTTGCCGTTCTAAGTTGAATAAAATGCAAACACATGTTCTTAATCGTCTTACAGCATAAATTAATAATGAATACTTCACCCCCCAACTTAAAAATGACATTGTCTCCAATGACATAGAAAAATCGAAACAGAATATGTAGAAAATATAATTTTCACGTGAAGCATGCATATATGCAAAGTTAAGCATTAAAAATGTTATCATAAATGATAAAGCTCCGAAAGACATCACCTCAACCTCGTTTTTAATTTTTCCACTTCGTCTTACATGCCTCCTTCTGCACTTTTTCAAAAAAACAAATACAAAAACAAGTACTGCGAAATTCTAAGAAAAACAGAGCTTAAAAAAAATGAAATAAAAACCATGGGTTGCCTCCCATGCAGCGCTGAATTTAATGTCTCTAGCTGGACTCCTTGATCTTACTCTTGAATTTCTTTTAATAATAAAATTTCTTTTTCTACAAGGCGTTCATGTTCTATGTAATGTTTAAGCCGCTATCCATTTACCTTAAAGTTATGATCACTTTTAGGATCTTTAATCATTACAGCCACATGATCATGTCTCTTCCACCACATAAGGCCTTTTCCATTTTGATTTTAATTTTCCTGGGAATAATTTCAGCCTAGAATCATATAACCACACCTTTTGTCCAACATCAATTTTTTTTCTGCTAATGTATTTATCATGAAAAGTTTTAGTTTTTTCTTTATATATACTATGATTTTCATAAGCTTCATTCCTCAACTCCTCTAGTTCATGTAGCTGAAAAATTTTATGCCCACCAGCTGATTTTTCATCCATACATAAATTTTTTATAGCCCATAATGCTTTATGCTCTATTTTCACAGGAAGATGACATGGCTTTCCAAAAATGAGACGAAATGGGGACATACCTATGGGATTTTTATAAGCTGTTCTATAAGCCCATAATGCATCTTGTAATTTCGTGGGCCAATCTTTCCTATCTGGTCTAACTATTTTTCTCAAAATTCTTTGAATTTCCCTATTTGCTACTTCAGCTTGCCCATTTGTTTGGGGATGATATGGAGTGGCTACTCTATGGTGTACTCCATTCTTTTTCAACAGTTCTCTGAAATGTTTATTTGTAAAATGTGTTCCTCCATCACTAATAATCACTCTAGGACATCCAAATCTCGAAAAAATATTTTCCTGCACAAATTTCATCACGATTTTATGATCATTAGTTCTAGTAGGAATAGCTTCCACCCACTTCGACACATAATCAATAGCAAGCAAAATTTATTCATATTTTTCAGTTGATGGGAAGGGACCCATGAAATCTATTCCCCATACATCAAAAATTTCGACTACTAACATGTTACTCATGGGCATTTCATCTTTTTTACTCATGTTACCTATAGATTGGCATGAAATACATGTTCTACTAAATTCTATAGAATCTCTAATGATTGTAGGCCAATAAAAACCACACTGAAAATTTTTTGCAGCTATTTTTCGTCTAGAGAAATGTCTTCCATAGATAGATGAATGGCACATGTTAATAATGCTATGGTATTCTTCTTTAGGAACACATCTCCTTAAAATTTGATCATTGCCCAAGTAATATAAACCAGGATCATGCCAAAAATAATTTCTAAGCTTAGAAAAGAAATGATGTTTTCTGTTCTTATCCCACTGTTTTAGAGTTTTTTTAGAAACTAGAAAATTAACAATATGTGCATACCATGGTGATGGTTGATGTTGAGCTGCCATCAATTGTTCATCTGGAAATGCATCTTATAAAGGTGCTGCATTTATTCCTGTATCATTTAATCTAGAAAGACGGTCAGCAACAGTATTCTCGAAACCTTTTTTATCTTTTATTTCTAAGTCAAATTCCTGCAACAATAAAATCCATCTTAATAAACGTGGCTTTGCATCTTTCTTATTAAACAGATATTTTAATGCTGCATGATCAGTATAAATAATAATTTTAGCTCCCAAAATATATGATCTAAACCTTTCTAATGAAAATACTACAGCTAACAACTCTTTTTCAGTCATAGTATAATTTAATTGAGCATCGGATATAGTTTTACTAGCATATGAAATTACTATGGGTTTTGACTCTTTTGTTTGTCCTAGAATGGCCCCCATTGCATAATTTGATGCATCACACATTATTTCAAAGGGAAAGGACCAATCAGGAGCTTGTAAAATGGGTGCCTCAGTAAGTAATCTTTTTATTTCGGAAAAAGACTCAAAACATTTCTCATCAAAATTAAAAGGCACATCTTTAGATAATAGCATGGTGAGAGGTTTAGAAATTTTCGAAAAATCTTGAATAAATTTTCTGTAATAACTTGCATGACCCAAGAAAGATCTAATCTGTTTTACTAAATTTGAAGGTTTCATTTTAGATATAATATCAATTTTTGCTCTATCCACCTCTAAACCCCTTTCACTCACAATATGACCCAACACAACTGCCTCTCTAACCATAAAATGTGATTTCTCCTAACTCAAAACTAATTTTTTCTCTATCCATTTCTCAAGTACATGCTGTAAATGATTTAAGCATTCATTAAATGATTCACCAAAAACAGAAAAATCGTCCATAAAATTTTTCATACATTTTCCAATCATATCAGAAAAAATAGACAGCATACATCTTTGAAATGTGGCTGGAGCATTACATAGACCAAAAGGCATGCGTTTAAAAGCAAAAGTACCAAATGGACAAGTGAAAGTTGTTTTTTCTTGATCTAAAGGGTTTATATAAATTTGATTATAACCAGAGTATCCATCCAGAAAACAAAAAAAGTTTTTTCCAGCTAATTTTTCTAGAATTTGATCAGTAAATGGTAGGGAAAAATGATCTTTTCTAGTAACTGAATTTAATTTTCTATAATCAATGCAAACCCTACAACCAGTAGTTAATCTTGTTTGTATTTCATCCCCATTTTCGTTTTTTATAACCGTGATCCCTGATTTTTTTGGCACCACTTGTGTAGGACTAACCCATTTGCTATCTGAAATAGGATAAATAATATCAGCAGCCAGCCACTTTAAAATTTATTTTTTTACAATTTCCATCATGTTAGGATTTAATCTTCGTTGTGGTTCCCTACTAGTTCTAGCCCCCTCCTCTAGATATATACTATGCATGCATACACTCATATCAATGCCCCTTAGATCATCCATTTTTCAGCCCATAGCCTTCTTAGTTTTTCGAAGTACATCTATTAATTCTTCTTCCTGTTCATCACTCAAATCAGCTGCAATAATAACAAGAAATAAATTATTTTCCTCCAAGAACATATATTTTAAACTAGAGGGAAGAGGTTTCAACTCTAAATTCAGATGATCTTCCTTTTTCTTTTCTTCTAAATTTATATTCTCTATTTCCTCTAATTCTTCCAGCAGACAGTCATCAATAACATCTGGATCATCAAAATCATCTAGAAGATCTATGGTATGACAATCATATACTTGAGATTTCTTAAGATCATTTGATACCTCAAAAATTTTAATTTCTATTGATTGATCTCCACATGAAATTTTTGCAATACCTGTGGGAAAATCAATATTCATCTTTGCTGTATGCAAAAATAGTCTCCCTAGGATGATTGGCGTATCATAAAACTGTCCATTAAAATCCATTTCCAGCACTACAAAATCAGCTAGAAATTTACACCCTTTAACTGTCACTATCACATTTTCTAAAATACCTTTAGGATATTTTATGGATCTATCAGCAAATTGTAAGGTAACAGTAGAAGGTTTAAGATTAGAAATATTAAATTTATCACAAATACTTGCAGGTAATAAATTAATACTAGCACCAATGTCAAGTAATGCATTCTGAAAAATGGATCCACCAATATCACATGAAATTAAAGGGGCACCTGTATCTCTCAATTTATATGGTAATTGATTTAATAATAATGCACTAGCATGCATAGATAATTTTTCTACTCTAGGTGCCCTTTTTGGTGTACACATTTCTTTCAAAACTCTAGCATATTCAGGAATATGTTCAATGGCAGTGAGTAAAGGAAGACTAATTTGCACATCTTGTAAAATTTTCTTTATTTCTTCATTGTGTTCCTTTTTCTTTCTTTGTCTAGGCTCTAGAGCTTTAGAAAATGGAATGGTTGTCCTCTCTTTTGAAATTTCCTTGGTAGAATCTATAAAATTCTCTTCTACTCCTATTTGATTTTGTTTTGGGTTGTCCACGTTTTCTTTTTCTTCTAATGTTTGGGGATAAGGATCAGGTAAAATCTTACCACTACTTAATGCATTCGCTGTCCTAACATTTTCATTTCGTGGGTTTTTTCCTAGATTCATGCTACTAGACTCCCCTTGCTGAAATCCTATTGTTGGGCGGTTCCTTGGATTTTCTATAGGCTGACTAGGTAGCTGTCCCTCTTCTCTCTTATTCCCAAGGGCCTCTATAATTTGTTTCTGGTGCTGCATCATTTGATTCATAGTTTGTTGCATCATTTGATTCATAGTTTGTTGCATCATTTGGCTCATTTGCTACATCATTTCCATAGTATCAAGTTAGGTTTGAGAGGGCTGATTTTTCTGAAATCTGTTTTCTTGTTTTGGACGAAATTTAGAGTTTGAATTGGGTCTAAGTGCTTCTGGATTTTGAATATTATTTGGGTCTCTTCATGAAAAATTATTCCTCCAATTAGGATTATAAGAATTTGAAAAAGGTTCCCTATTTCTATTAAAACCGTATGCTACTTGCACTTGTTCTTGCATAAGGTGAAATGATTGATCTAAGTTATAACATTGAAATTCAGAATAATCATTTTCACCATACATAGGACATGTACTATTCAAATTAAGTTGAGGGTTAAAAGGCTTTCTAATATTGTCAATAAGTAAATCAATTTTTTCTAATCTTTGATTAATCTGATTAACCTCATTTCTAAGTTTAGAATCATCATCATGATGCAATTCATAAATTCCTCTCTTCTTATCCCTGTCATATAATTCAAAAGAGGCTTGATCTCTAGAATTTTCACTTAAATTCTCATAAAGACTATAAATCTCATCAGGAGTTTTCTCCATAAAAGCTCCTCCACATATAGAATCAACCATATTTCTATGTTGTTCTAATAATCCATCATAAAAACTTCTATTGAGCTGTCACTTGGGTATAGCATGATGATGACACTTTCTAAGTAAATTTTTGAATGTTTTCCATGTCTCATGTAAAGTTTCTCCTGGTCTTTGAGAAAAACTCCATATATGTTTTCTCATATTTTGAGTTTTTCCTAAGGGATAAAATTTTCGAAGAAAGACTTGTTCTATGTCTTTCCAGCTAGTTAATTCTCTATCTAATGTGGATAGCCAATGGCTAGCTTTGTCCCTAAGTGTATGAGGAAATAATTTCATCTTAATAATTTTCGGTGTAACTTGAGGGAGATTAACTAAATCACAGACCATATGAAATTTTTCTAAGTGCTGATGAGGTTCTTCTAAAGGCAATCCATGAAAATTAGGGAGCATTTGAAAAATTCTTGGATTTATTTCGAATTTAACATTGGGTGCTAATGGGACTCTAATATTGGATGCTCTTTGAAATGAATCAGGGATATAATAATTTTTCATGGCCATAGGATTGTTCTTAGTTTGACCTGTACTTCCTTCAGGATCTATCAAAATTAATTTTTCTTTCGGATTTTTAGTTTTGAATGAAATAATGAAAGGATTTTCTAGCCTTGGATGCAAGGATCTTCTACCATGCATAAAAAAATCAATAAATTTGAGGGAAAAGTTTAGTAATTGTTACCCTCCTTCAGTATGCTCCAGTTCTTGCCTTGTTTCTTTTCATTCCCTTTTTCTAAAAATAAATAAATTCGGCAAGAAGAAAATAAAATAAGAGTTAATTTTATTTTTTTTGTGTACTCTAAGAGAAAAACAGAAAAATACTAAATATTATGCAATACATCCCCGGCAACGGCACCAAAATTTGACGTGACTTAGTTGTTGTATATTAAATCACACAAATATAAAATTTATAAAACTAGAAAATACGAATTTTCGGATATTTAGAAGTATTTCTGAAAAAATATATCAATTATAATTCAATAAAACTTCCACAAATAGCGGTAATTTTCCAAGTCGATCACAGGGATGTAATATAATATCTGGTAATTATTCAGAATTTTTCTCAGAGAATAATATTTTATATGAATTTTATACTAAGAAATGAAAAGGAAATATATTTAAAATTTACGAAAAAAGGAAATAAGGGTGCGGGCGTCAGGATGACGTCATCGCCCGACGAACGCAAATCGGGCAGAAACAGAGTTCCGCCCGGCGATTCTTACGTAAGCGATTACAAACAATTTAATTGATCAAATTAAGATCTGTAAAAGACGGAAGAATCGTAATGAAATGAAGTATATGTTGGTAAATTTAAAATCAGCAAATTATCACTAAATGAAATGAAAATTAAGTTGAAAGCAAGAAAATAGTGTTTCGGCGTCGCGACGGCGATGCGTCGACGATGCACCGGAATCCTGAGCATTCGGGAGGATCGTCGTGCAGTGTCCATGGCCTCGAAGGCTCTCCTTGGACAAAGACGACGTGGGCAATCTCTAGATCTTCTCGCGAAGTCTAGAGATTAATGAAATGGGTCGTCGAGTCATCTTCGGCGGCTGTCACCCGGCGGAGCGGAAAAACGGCGACTTTGCGGCTCTCTGGCGGCTATTACCCGACGGAGAGGAGCTAGATGGAGGTGGAGCGCGTGTCAGGGAGCTTCATCCTTAGGTCCGCACAGCAAGAGGAGGCTCTTCATCGCATCTGGTACGGTCTTAGGAGGTGGCGACTCGTCTCCTGGTGGATCATCCTCTTCCCGACGACGGCTTGTTCGTCGATCAATTGGAGATGATTTACTCAATGGATTCGCGATCCTTTTATCGCGAATCGTTCAGCAATTTTAGTAGCAATGCTCTGCGAATCGTGTTGACGAGATTTTCGCCGATGATCTAGCGATTCTCGTTACTTAATCCTTCACTAGCGATCTGCAGGAAAGTCGCGATAATTAGATAAAAATATATGACTTTTGACTCTAGGAGGATTCGAACCCGCGCTAGTTGTCTGCCCCTTCTGAGGAAGGTGATACGCGGGTTTAGTCTCACATCGGTTGTGTGTCAATTTTTCGGGCAAATATATAGTAATATTACATTTCTAAGCAAAGTTCCTTCTCTCGCGTGTACGACCACTCCTTGCCCCACAGCCGGCTGGCCACCGGTGATGTGGAAGGGGAGTGGTGGCGCACACGTGCCTCTTTCGGTCCAAGCTGCTCGAGCCCCTGCTCGCGGCTACTCCTCGACTGAGCTTTCGACCCGCTTGTAGGCCCGGCTGGCCGGCGGGTCCCCCCATTTTGCAATATTTTAGTTTTATTTCTTTTTCTTCATTTATCTCAAAAGTAAGACTGTAAAAATCATATAAATTCGTATAAAATCACATAATTACCCAAAAAAATCACATTAATCAACTGAAAACCACTTTTCACACTTTAACACAAAGATAAGTCTATTTATCACGAGTTAAGACTAAAGCTATATTATTTACTAATTATTAACTCATGATAATGAAGACTTATCAAAACCCTTAAATTTAGATTTATTAATGATGCCACAAAAGAGATGAAGTAGCCATAGAGGAAACAAAAAAAGCCCGAACACCAAAAAAAGGTTCATTAAAAATTAGCTCATAGACACCTCGTCCATTTTCACACCCCAAACTAATTCTTTATTTGATATATATCCTAAAAGGTATAATGAAAAAAGAAAAATATAATAGAACAAAGAATGGCTCAACTAATAATACTGATAGATCAGAAATTAGTAAGAAACTTAAGAATATAAAGAACCTAGGTGAGATGAATAATTGGGGTAACAATAGTATTATCATATCTATTGACCAGACAAGTCTAGCTATTGGCAATGGTAACTAGTGGATGATGAGGATTAGACTAGTATGATGATAAAATAGTGGGTGTGTCGGTCATATAGGTGGAGGCCCCTAAGTCAATAATCTATGGTGAAGATGAAGATGTAAAGAGAACGTGTGTATTAGACATGGAAGGATTCGAAAACAAGGCCAGATTGGTTGAGGAATGAGTCATGGCATCACTAGAGTGACATAGTGATTCATACTTGACAAAGGTTAATGTCACCTAAAAAGTTAGAGATGGGATATTAGATGGTGCTGAAGAAGCTGATGAATGAGGCAAAAGAGCTGATTGGGTAAAATTAAGTTTCTCAAACTATTTCCAACGTTTCTTAGACAAGTGGTCCTATTTGCCATAACAGATGCATAGAGGAAAGGAATTGCAGCCTTTCTCTTAACGAATGACCATTGTCAGAAATAGATATGACCCATCCTATGATGATTTGTATATCCTTTAAAGTTAAACCAATAAACATAACCTTTAAATTTAATATATATATGTATGAGGCTAATAGTTCTAGCATATTCGATAGAAATATGTTTTTGTTAAAATAGAACCACAAATAACTTTATGAAGTAATAAGTTTACAATAAAAGTAAATTCAAATCATTTACAATAAAAAGTGATTAAATAGTAGACATAAAAATCCTCATATCATTCTTTTATTTATATATTTATTTCCATAATTTATGATATCTTGAAATCATTTTCCAATCAATATTTGGACAAGTTTAGATAACCATTTAAACATTGCATATTCAATTATTAAATTCCCCATAAACTTGATAAGCAGTAATAATTTCATATCATAAAATTTTAGTTTAGAAATTTTTGTACCAATATTTTACTTCCAACATTCACATTAAACCCAAATTTTCAATTACTTTTTAGTGAGAAGCAATTTTCATAATTATTGATAGTTTCACTAATAGAAATTAATGATTTGAAGTGGAAAATTTATCATAATTACAAAATTCCGAATATGAGAATCACATAAATTGATTATCTTTTCAAAATTTAGTATCTAAATTATATATGTTTTTATCATTAATTAACTTCGTGTAGATGTCCTGATGACTACTCATGTATGATATAAAAACAGAATTATTAGTATTACTTGATACATATTATGTGTGTCTGTCATTGTCAAAACCTTATAGGATAATTAAGGCTAACAAAGGCAACAACACACATCATCTAAAATTTTTGTTTATGAATACTCATAATTCGAAGTTCTTTTGAGGGTTATCTAATCCTTTCCTAGAACAACCACCAGAATTTAATAAAAGAGATTATCATTTTTCATTCATAACAATTTGGTCCATATGTTATTGTATGCTATGACTTAATGTCTCTATCTTGTAAGCCATGTTCATAGATATAGACATTTGAAATAGTGTACTATATTGACTGATATAGACATGCCAATATTTTTAGAGTAAACAAAATATAGAATCACGCACTTCATCTGATAAACTACTACAATTAAACATGACCTAAGTTTTAATACCATCTGACATACTTTGAATGGAATGAACAGAAAATGATAAACTATTCATGAGACGTATGTCATAGCTGCAAATATAATTATTATAAGCTTTGTATCATATTATAAATACTATTTAAGGTTCAAAACTACAAGGCTTCAACTCATTGGTTAATTGGTTGAAGCTGGAATGACAACAGAGTTGCGAATTTCAGTACAAGGTGTGAGGGACTGCCCGCATGGGCACCCACCCCAGTTGAATATCCACATGTCAGGTCCGTCGAATACTCCAATCCGAAAGTCACCGTGTGCAGGAATTGACCCCTAAATCCCCTCCACGTGTTGATGAGTTACGAATAATACAAAAAACCAGTGAAATGAGCGTTTTTAATTATTATGGAAAAAAAGTTCATTCAACCCTGCGTGGCAAAGTTGCCGTCTGCCCCGGGAATTGCATGGCTGCGTCTCGTAATACGAGTGCTGAGAGACACTCGTGTCGCCAACCAGAGTAGACTGACGATGTCCACACTGCATGAGGGGACAGTATACAAACTGTCAAACTTCAACGGTCGTCGTTGTCCGACGATGACCGAGGGCCAGAGTATTTGATTCTTCCATCGCCGCCTACATGAAGTCAAGAACACGAGTCATCTCTGCCTCCTACGCCAAAATGGCCGTCGCCCTCGAGACTACAAATAGAGGCAGCTCGGAGTTCAAAGCAGAGCACAACCAACCCCCCATTGGTTACGTAAGTAAGTTTT